ACCCTAAACCCTCAATCCGAAACCCCAAAGTCTAGACCACTCTACAGTAGAAGGCCAAAAGTTGGAAACCCAATAGCCTCATTCCTTAAAAGTAATATAAAGGTAATCCCAGCACTAATTGTCCTTAATCCGGTTCTAAACCCTAAACCCTAAACCCTAAACCCTAAGATTGGAGTGCAGGCTGCCGGCAAGCTGCTCGGGGGATATGTCCAAGTTGGAGAGCATCTTGATGAGGCTCACAGACTTCTTTGAAGGTTGTTTGGGGTTTAGGGTTTCGGGTTGAGGGTTTAGGGTTTAGGGTTTGGGGTTTAGGGTTAAGGGTTTTGGGGCTTCTAGGGCTGTCAATGCTTGGGGTTTTGAGGCCAGCGGGTTTTAGCAAATGGGTTGTAGTAGGGAATAGGGATCTTCATAATAAGGATCATATGAGGGAGCGCCCTAAACCCTACAATCCTAAACCCTAAGCCCAAGCCCTGAATCGAATCAGGCTCCTATTAGGCAAACCCACCCTGCACCCGAAAGCCTACACCCCTAAACCCTAAAGCCCAAAACCCTCGAGCCTAAACCCTAAACCCCGAATCCCAAGCCCTACTACAGAAAAGAGGCCGGTGGCGGGCGCAGACCTCAAGGACCGACCAAGAGCTACTATAGTATAGGGGCCGTAGTCACCAGGACAGGGTTCCGTTTAAAGGGCTTCGCAAGGGATCTAGAGGAGTTCACACGGTTTTGGGGAATAGGGTGGCCGAGGTAGATTATGGTAAAATTAGGAAGGGGTCGAGAGATTACTATGGATTCTGGATTCTGGAGTGCACGGCCGAGGGCATGCTATGAGTAATTATTCCGACCTCTTTCTTAGGACGTTAGGAAGTTAGGTTTAGGGGTTTAAGACTTTAGGGCTATGTTACATAATATTATGTACATGAATAACAAGGAGCTCCTGGCCAACGCGGAGGCAAAAGCCGACTTTGCGGCCTACACCCACAACCTCATTCGCCAAGTTGACTCACAGCAGACCTTGAACAATGCCACACTGGCTCTGCAAGGTGTCCGCACCGTCCAGGGTAGCGCCATGCCCCCCATGGCCCAGGTGCTAATTTCGTCAAACCAGAGTTCAGTCTTTGGGGAATATACTCTCAGGATCCTAATGAATGATGATATAAGGGATGTAGGCAGGGCGCTGCAGGGACCAGAGAAAGGGATCCTGTGCTGTTTTCTATAAGGGTTGCATGAGGGATTAAGGGCTTACGGTTTAGGGTGTCTGAATGCCCCAGGTGCTGCACAGCCAGATGCTTGCATCCGACACGAGCATGAACATCACATTGCACCTCTCCGTGGTGCCCCCGGCGACTTTGGCCAAAGAGTGCCAGCTGATTGCGGCTATCCGGTTTGCCGTGCCAGAAGCTTACGCAGAATCTGAGCCAGAGGCAGAGCCACGTTTCGAGACCTTCTTGACCGAGAAGGCGTCAACACCCCCAAATCCTAGATCCCGCACCCTGAATCCCAAGAGAACATACCTGTATACTTACTACCGTCATAACATCCCTTACATCGCATCCTTGCACTATCCTTTTAGTACCCTTATGCTACCGCGATAGTCTTCAAAACGCCTTAAACCCTAAACCCTAAACCCTTTTCCAACAAGGAGGTGCCGGATACAGGGTGTGACCTCGCTTGCAAGTCCATGGAAGCCATCTCCGAGGTGCTTGAGAGTGGTTTAGGGCTGAATGCTTAAGGGTTCCCTAAAACCCTTAAACCCTAAACCCTAAAATCCTAAAGCCCTCAACCCTAAAATCCCAAATCCTAAAACTCTTAGCCCTACCTTAACCTACCTACCAACACCTACTTGTTTGTAGCTTCTTATTCCAAACCCTAATATGGAAGTTATGGGGACCCTACCAAAACAGGAGGCTTTGGTAGGTCGAGGAAAACCATACACCGTACACCCTAGGTTGATTTAGGTTTAGGATTGGCTGGCTTCGCCGGCGGGTTGAAGCCTGAACGCCGTTCTCCAGCTTCGGTGTGCTGTTCCTGCCAACTAACTCAGCACAGGAATGCATCCCTTAAAGTTTAGGGTCTAGGATTTCGGGTTTTGGGTTTAGGGTTTAAGATTTCGGTCCCTAAACCTTTAACCCTCAACTACCAAAGCTTCTAATCCAAAGAATACCAGCTGCTTGCAGAAGCTGCCACAAGCCTCTCAGAAACCACAGAGATTAAGTTTTGACTTGTGGGTTTTCCTTGAAGCTCGAAGAGGATCCCAGAAGCTCGCGGAAGCGGCGCTAGGATTCTAGGATTTAGGAACTGGGATTTAGGATTTGGGAACCCGAGCTCCCTCAAATCCCAGGAGGGAAGACTCTCAGGGTTTAGGGTTTAGGGTTTTGGGTTTGGGGTTTTGTTGGTTTAGGGTTTAGGGTTTTGTTGGTTTAGGGTTTAGGGTTTAGGGTTTAGAGTTTAGGGTTTAGGGTTTAGGGTTTTGGGTCCTTCAACCCGAAGCCCTAAGCCGAAA